GCCTTAATAATATGTACAATGTACATGCATGTTTGTGTGAAAAATCAACAATCTAGGCATTCAAATGCATGTAATGGATTTAGTTCTTTTATCATATATGGCATGAAATCTGACTAATATATTACTAGCAAAAGCTAAACTTCAAAATGTTTCCGAACTGTGTGGTGGTCTGTGAGCATTAAACCTGTATTGTGATTATATTGCTTGTTGATACTTATCCTGTATTACTGTTCCTGTTCCATCTGTAAAATTTGGGGATAATTTTAAGTTATGTGACCGTCATTTCAGCTGATATGTAGTTGGAGAGTACTCAAATAATTTCTCTTTATCTAAACCGAGTATCTTGACCAAAATTTTTCATTGCTAATCGGTATTCAATTGTGATCTGAGAGTGCAGCAAGAGAGGCCTATTCTTCCACAGGATATATCCCCTGATCTTGCATTCATCATTCAATCAAGTTGGGTTGAGGACCCCAATATGCGGCCCAGTTTCAGCCAGATCATCCGCATGCTCAACACATTTCTCTTCACACTGACACCACCCTCTCCATCCTTACCTGAATCTGACACCACTGAAGCTGCCGTGACTAGTAATGGTACCATGACTGTGTTATCTGCGCGAATGAGGGGGAAATTTAGCTTTCTTCGCCAACTTTTTGCTGCAAAGAGGACTAGGAACTCACAGTGAATGGGTAAATTTTGACAAGTTTCTTTTTGTTCAGTCTCAAAGAGAAAAAGGCTTGCCATAGGAGATGCTTATGTAAATGAACTGGTGATTGATTAGCTGAGAGTCACAACACAATGATTAGTAAAGGATGAAACTATGGAATAGAACAATCTAACCAGAGGAACTCATTGAGAAATGAATAGTGATACGGAGACTTACTAGTTGACCTTGTTGTAAAGGAGATATACTTGTTGTAGTCATGTTCCTGTCCATATATCAATGTTCTGTCTATTTCCATTAATGGTGTAATATGCTGCAGTTTATTGATTTTATAATATTGTTCTGGCTTTTAAAGATTGTGTAGGAGAGGGTTCAAGAACACCGTTGGAAAATTCGAAGATCTTTGAAGATCCTTGAAGAACAACTTCGAAGTCTCTAGAAGATAATGAGAGGCTTAGATTCTTCAATAGTCTCAACTTAAGAATACAAGAGTGAAGAAGATGATGGAGATAAGAGATTGGGTGAAGAAGAAGGCAAAATGGCTAGAGAGAGAATAATGGCAAGGCTCTTCCATGAATCTCTCACTTTCACTCCCAAGGTTGATAATGGAGAAGGGAAATTAGTTTTTTCTCAAGAGTTAAAAATCTCCAAAATCCATCCCTTGTGAAGCTATGGGTAGGTGCTATTTATAGGCACCTCATGATGTAGGATGGAGCTCATGTGCAAGGCACATGGGGAATACTCTGTCTAACCACCTTATCCGAGGAGGTGACCTCTCCGAGGATGAGAAAAACCCCGAAGAGGAGATCAACCCCTCGGCAAATCCTTCTTCTTAGCCACGCCTAACCAATGATTCCCAATCATCCCAAAGGGTCAAGAGTAGTCTCAGAGGACGTCCTGCAGCAAAATATTGCCGAGTCTCATGGACCCCCCGGAGTCGTGCCACCTCGACCCGGGTATAGGCTAGTTTAACCAAAGAGTGAATTTATTCCCCTCACCGTCCTCGGAATCGGGTCTTTTGTTCGGACTCCATTACGTCCATGGTTCTGGTACGCAGATCCCGGAAAGCTTTGAGTCCGCAAGTGTTCTGGGACTCATTAACAGAGCGGCTTCTAGATTGCGTCTGAATCCGTTCGAAGCCGAATGCTTCGGATCTCTAGGTTCGCTGATCCGAACCCTTTGGCTTCTAGATTGCGTCTGAATCCGTTCGAAGCCGAATGCTTCGGATCTCTAGGTTCGCTGATCCGAACCCTTTCAAGTCCAAGCCTGAGTAAGTTTCTAAGTTCGTGGATCCGAATCCTTTCGAGGCTTAGGGCGATTCGGCCCGTTCGATATAAATCCGGGCCCGCCAATCTTGGACTTGCAATAAATTCTGGCCCACCAACCCTGGACTATTGGGCCTAAATAATTTAGTGGGCCCAAATTAGCTCCTCTTACATATTGTTGTGTCATTATTGTGTCACACGTTTTCCATGCATCTATTTCTTTATAATTAGACATGGAGTGTGAGTAATATTTGCTTGGTGGTTCATGGTTGTTAATCTGCAGTCATATGATTAGATACTACGTAAAATTAACTTTTTGGAAAGGGATATGGGCCCCTTGTGTGGAGCGAATTGGGCCGGGTCTAGTTGATTTAGATTTGAGATAGCTTTGCTTTTCTTGTTTAAGGCCTGAGATCAATGAGCCCTAGATTTCGACCACTCTACTTTTTGTGATGATGATTCAATTGCTTTCATTGGCCTTGCTTACAACAATGTTTTGATGGAATCAATTAACCACGTAATCTTGATTTTGATAGGTCAAAGTGCTAGTGTGAAGGAGTTGTTGACTGGTGTTTAATAAATCAGTAGCCACTTTTTTATTTTATTTTATTTTTCATAATTATTATTATTATTTTTTATTTTATAAAGATAGCAATTAGTATGAGTAGTTAGATTACAGTGCTTATCATGACATCTAAGTGCTCTCTTAATGATCATTTGGACTATAACTTAGGTCTACATGTTTGTTATACAATATAATGCTTCACTTTACGATCATTTTAAAAATTAATTATTGATACAAATGCCAAATGTTATAAAAGTGAAATGTGAAGTATTTCTTATTAGTGGTAGAATATATGGTGAAATTTAATAAGTGGTAGACACCATCAATTTGGGGTTTCAAAATTAAGACTTTAGGTAGTTGTTGTCGGAGTAATGTTACCCTTAATATATAAATTAGGTAGTTGTTGGAGTTTCAAAATTTTTTTGTGTTAACGTTATCCTTAATATATAATTCAAGTTAGTGATTTTTCACACTTAATAATCAGCCTTATTAATTAGACTTATTTACTTATAGGTATCGATTGATAAACTTATTATTGTAAATTTATTCATAAAAATAAGAAATTGATAAATTTATCAAAATAGTATTTAATGGATAATTAGTCTAAAAAATAAACCCTGTTGATAATTTATCCTTTCCTATCAAAATTTAATTATTGCTTATATATCAATTAGTTATTTTTTTATATTAAAAAAAAAAGCACTTGTTAGTCACGATGAATCTTGTACTTTTCAAACATGCATTGCACACGTATGTAGCTCATATGCTCGCCCAATAATATTATTTTTTTAAACAAAAATAAGACTTCCATTAAATTAAGATTTGAAAAGAAAATATATGTGGTCTTATTCATTTGAAAAAAAAAAAATCTTAAATTGGTTCTTGAACTTAAAAGGTGATTAGTGTAATTCATTCTTTTAATCAACATTTATTTTTTAAATAACTTTTAGAGACTTGTTGGGTAGTTTTTGACTTTTTTTAGATAAAAAAAAATAAATTAAGTCAAGTTAAAAACAAAACAATATATAATTTTTTTTCAAAAAGATGTTTGGTTTCAATATTTTAGAAATTGAGAGCTAGTTTGGTTTGTTTTTGGGAGAGTTGTTTTTAAAAAAAATTTGGAAGAATTGTTTTAGAAATTTTTTTAGTTTGTTTAGTTGTACATTTTGAAAATAGTTTTGGAGTTTGGGAATTTGGGATGATTTGATAGTTTGTTTTAATTGAGTAGATGTGTATGAGAGAAAAAGTGATTGAGAAGGAGAGATGAGAGAGAAAAAGTGATTGATTGATGTGTAAGAGAGAGAGAGTGATTTTGGAAATTTTTTGAAAAAAATCTCAAACCAAACAATTTTTCAAATTTTTTTTTTTCTAAAACTCATCTCTAAAACTCAAACAAAACATACCCTGAGTTTTTACTTTTAGTAAATAATTTAAAAAATTTATTTTATTTTTTTAAAACTTTTTTAAATACACTTTACTTACATATATCTAAAATGTAAAATATTTATAAAAAATTAATAAATACATAAGAAGATGAAAATGTATTGAATCTTTAAAAAAAAAATTTATATTTTTAATATTTAGTGAATTTTTTAAAGATTTTTTTCACAAATATTATACTTTTTAACGCTTTGTTTAGTTGAAGAATTTGGAGATGGATTTGGAAAGAGAAAGAGAAAAGATGTGTGACATTAGGTAAAATATAGATATATTTTATTCACATTTCACTTATTTTTTCCATTTCTCTTTTCAATTCCTTAGTCAAATCCTCTTTCCAAACACAATATAAGTATATTTATGTTAGGTGTATTTAAAAATTAAAAAAATTATTTAAAATATTAAAAATTCAATAAAAATAAAAAAATACAAAAATAAAAATTAAAAAATTGAATTTTTTAAAAAGTAAGGGATGGTTTGGAATATTTTAAATAAATGTATTTTTTGACGGGATGGTTTGGAATATTTTAAATAAATGTACTTTTTAACTTTTTATATAAAAAAATATATAAAAAACTAAAGAAAGTAGATAAAAAAATAAAGAAAAAATGTTGATAAATGTTAATAAATGTTAATTAATATAACCTAAATAAATATATATATATACAAAAAAAAATACACCAAAAAAAAAAAAAAATACACTTTTTTAATACACGTCAAACTCGTATGAAAAACCAAACTAAGCAAGCTCAACGTCGGTACTTTTTGTAGTCTTTGCTCAGTTGGTTGATGAAAAAAGAAAAAAAAATTTGTTTGGCAAAAAAATGACAAAACAAGAAAGAAAGAGCCCTCCTTTGCGAGTTAAAATTCCATTGAATTGTCCGTAGAATGACCAAGTCCAAGTCTACTGACGATTTTATTCTCAACCCTACGATAAAAATCGGAGATTATACGTTCAAATCTACGAAAATTTAATGGTACAGATCTCAGCCAGACGTACTGTTTGAATACACAGTACACATTCCAACCAAAAAAAATAGTAATAAATAATGACCAAATAGTCAAATGTTAAACAACAGAACAGTAGACCGACTATAAAGAAAGTACAGAGGAAAGGGAGAGAAATTTAGCAAAGAATCAAATCAAACACAACACATATGCATATAGTTAGATAGATAGACAGACAGACAGACAGAGAAAGCAAGAATCGGAAATGGATTTCAAGGTCTAGAGGATATTCAACTTTCTTGTTGTTTCAAGCAATGGAATTTTATTGATTTTTAATTGTTTGTTTTTTTCGAAAGGTTTGACAATTGGGTGTTGAATTTGAGTATTTTTGGGGGTTGAATTGAATGGAATTGGGGATTGTAGATGAAATGGAGGAAAATGCAGGAGCTTTGCACACAGCTATCAATTCGGTACAGGCGTTAGGTAGGGGATTTGATGTGAACTTTGACACCAGATTGCTCTACTGTAAAGGAGTTGGAGGGTCTAGAGTTGTTGAAATTGTCGAAGAACACACTAGGGATCTATTCTTGTATGATGGCTTGGTTGTCCCAAATGTCTCCAGAGATATTAACATTTCTCACGAGCCAATTGGGCGTGATAGCTCTGGTGTTTGCAGTTTTCTTGAGGTATGTTAAACACTATCAATCTGGGTTTTTATTTATTTATTATGTTTTTGCCATCTGAATCCCACAATTCAACTTTTGTATATATAAGTTTAATGGTAGGTTGTGTGCATGAAAAACGAGTGAAATTTCAAGAACGCCCATTGGTTTTATATGGTTTTCATTTTCAGCTGAAACATTTTTTTCCAAAAACAAGAGTTCCTAAAAGAAGTTGTTTTTATCCACAAAAAAAAAAAAAACCCCAAAAGCTGGTTTTGGAAACAGTTCACCAAACCAAACAAGTTTTATGTGTTTTACAAAAAATGAAAACAGAAAAAAGATACCAAACAGGAATTTATTTTTTATTTTTGATAAATAACCACACTTTATTAAAAAAGTATCAAGATGATACAAAAATGGAAGCCACAAAGGCTCAACAGATTAACAAATCAAATCCTTCACAAAATCAACAAAGGCCAAAACATTAGGATCAACCTAACTTGTTACCCAACTATACAAAACTGTCAGCAGCCGTCGTTCTAACCAAAGAACTGAAAGACACCCCTGGAAAACATCCCTATTACGCTCCAACCAAACCAACCATACAACGCAATTAGAAGCAAGCATTCATGCCTTCCGACAGCTCCTCCCAACTCAACCCCCCAACCCAACATTGCAAAACTGCCTTAACTGAATCCGGCTGCACCCAAGCTAAGCCAAAAGTCACAACAACGAGCATCCAAAGTCAAGAAGTAATCGGACAATGAACCAGCAAATGATCCACCGACTCCGCATCACCACAACACAAGCAACACCAATTGACCAATATGTGGCCGCAACGAATTAGATTATCCAAAGTCAAGATACGCCCCAACATAGCCGTCCTCACAAAAAAGGCCACTTTGGATGGTGTACCCGACACCCAAACACATTTCTAAGGGAAAACAATAGCCTCCTCATGAACAAACACACCATAATACAAGGATACAAAAAACTTCCTCTTAGCCGTAGGACAATCCCACACCAAAGAATCTTGCCCAACCCTCCAACTCGCAACTCATATAAAAAAACCTAAAAGCTCCACTAGCTGATCTTGCTCCCAATCCTGTACATTGTGGCGCAAGCGCACATTCCAAACAATTGAGTCCCCGTGCCCAGACCACATAGCACCCACCATCACCTCATTATCAAAGGTAATACCAAAAATCAAAGGGAACCACACTTCTAAAGGAAAGTCACCATACCACCTATCCCGCTAAAACTGAACTCTAGCCCTCACTCCTCCTTTCAGTTTAACCCTCTTTCAAAACTCCTCCCACCCCAACCAAATCCCTTTCCAAAGACCATGGCCATGCAATTACGCTACCCGGCCTGAACACCACCCTCCCCTCCCTTCACCAAACTTCGCAACCACCACCCTCCTCCAAAGACAATCCCTCTGGTTCACATAACGCCATAAGCACTTCCCCAACAAAGCCACAATAAACATGACCAACCTCCGAATCCCTAGACCCCCATTAACCTTGGGACTACAAATCCGATCCCAAGCCAACAAATGATAAAAACCCTCCCCCCCCATTACTCCACAAGAAATCCCTCTGCAACTTCTCAATCCGCTTTGCCACTGACACCGGAATCACATGAGTGGACATAAAGTAAGTCGGAATGCTGGATAAGACACTCTTAATCAACGTGATTTTGTCCCTTTTTAATAAATATTGTCCCTTTTTAATAAATATTGTCGCTTCCATCCTGCCAACCACCGTTGTATACGTTCCACCACCTATCCCATATCCTTTTCGCCTTGAAAGATGCCCCCAGAGGTAAACCCAAATATGAAACTAGCAGAGAAGCCACCTTACATCCCAGAATAGCTATAAACATCGGAGTCCTCTCTACCTAACCCACTGGGATCAGTTTCGACTTTGCTAGGTTCACCTGAAGGCCTAAAACTGCCTCAAAACACAACAACGCACATCTCAAGTGTCCAATCTGATCAACATCTGCATCACAAAAAATAAGCGTATCATCTGCATAAAATAGATGGGAAACCGTCAAAATTGCTGGATCCACCCCCACCTTGAACCCCTGTAAGAGGCCTCATTGCACTGCTCTAGATAACAAACGCCCCAACGTCTCTATCACCAGATGAACAACAAAGAAGAAATGATCACCTTGCCGTAACCCTCTGTAAGTAGGAAAGAATTTCAGTGGAGACCCATTAACAAGGATTGACATCTGCATCGTAAATATACAGAATTGAATCAACCTCCTCCATTTATCTCCAAAACTTAATCTGTTCAACATATACAATAAAAAGTTCCAATTGACATTATCATATGCCTTCTCTATATCAAGTTTGCAAATAAGCCCCTCATTCTCCTGCCGAATTCTGGAATCTACACATTCATTCGCTACTAAGACCGCATCTAGGATTTGCCGCCCATCCACAAAAGCATTCCGTGACTTGAAAACCACCCCTTCCAACACACTTCGTAACCGATTCGCCAACGCTTTTTCCAATAGCTTATACACTACCCAAAAGACTGATAGGTCGAAAATCCTGAATATCTCCTACCCCACCCTTCTTTAGGATCAAAGTAATAAATGTGGCATTGAGGCTATGCTCAAACTCCCCTGTCTGATGAAACCGCTCAAACATGGCCATCAAATCTGCTTCATCACCCCTCAGCACTGCTGGAAAAAGGCTATCGACAAACCGTTTGGTCCCAGCACCTTATCACCAAGCATACTCCGTAAAGCCTCAAGCACTTCGTCTTCTGCAAATGGCCGTTCCAGCAGGCAAACTGTTTGCCTCTGAAATAACATCGAACACAACTCCATCTAGGCCCGGTCTCCACACCTCCCCCTTATCCCGAAATAAATGCTCATAGAAGCTCATAATACCTCCCTTAATCTCCTCAGGAGATAATAGCTCCACACCATTTACTCGCATTCTACCTATCTGATTCACCCTTTGATAGGCATTTGCCATACGATGGAAGAACTTTGTATTTTGATTCCCATCCTTCAGCCACAAGCATCTGGATTTCTGCCAAAAACTAATCTCCTCCATACGGGCAGCCTAGCCAAACTCCTTTCGGACCCCATCTTGACGAACCAATCTGCTGCAGACATGCCCCCGCAGTCTCTATCTCATCCAACTCCTGCAACATAGCTAGCACATTGGCCTTCTGGACCTCCAAGCGCCCAAACACTTCCCTATTCCACCACTTCAAATCGGCCTTGAGAAGTTTCAGTTTTTGCGCTAAGCGACAACTCGGCAAGTTTGAGACAGTATAACTTTCCCACCAACCCTTCACCCGTTCTTTAAAACCCTCAGACAACAGCCACATATTCTCAAAACGAAACGGTGCAGGTCCACTCCTAATGCCCCCACTATCTAATAAGAGTGGCCAATGATCTAATACTAAATGTTGCAAACGTATTTGAGTCACTTGTGAAAAATGCTCCTTCCACTCCCCTGTTACTAGGAATCTATCAAGCCGAGACATCGCTCCGCCTCTAGACCACGTGTAGCCACCACCCTGCAGCGGCAGATCCACCAGCTCCAGCTCATCAATGAACGAAGAAAATGTCCGCATAGAAGCCACCACCGAGCTTACCCCCAACTTCTTCTCTATACTCCTCACCACATTAAAGTCTCTGCTTGCACACCATGGAACCCCCCACCGAAAGGCAATGCACTGTAACTCCTCCCATAAACTAGGTCGCTCCCCTCCACATACCAGCCCATATACCCCTGTAAAGGCCCAGCGAAAATCATCCTTGACACATCGAATTAGATAGGAAATCGAGAAAGCCCCCATCTTTTCCTTCTTTTCCACCACCCTCCTATCCCAACAAAGAAGAACACCCCCCCTGCCACCCTTAGAGCAGGTAAAAAAGTCCAATCCACATACCGACCACCCCACAACTCCCTAACTATCTCCCCCAATCCATCAAAATCAAATATGTTTGACCCTTTAAGCTTTTATCTTGCTCTCCTGGAGACACACTACATCCGCCCTCGCATTTTTTAACACAAACTTTACCAACACCCTCTTCCCCCTGTCATTCAATCCACGCACATTCCAAGTTAAAATTTTTAACCGCATTGCAACAGCAGCTGATTTCCACGACCCCTTCTAGCACCCTGCCCATCCCATCCGCACCCTTACCTCGATCATAATTTATGGAGAACACTCCAATTTTCGTAATTCTCTAACATTCTTCCTATTCTGTTTCACAGGTTTCATTACCTGCCGATTAGGAGCACCTTCCGTCCATGACTTCTCGATTGCAATAAATAATTTCAGTGCCTCATCCTCATGACCTTCAAAAGAAATCCCCAGAAATTGACTAACTTCATCAATGCGAGAGAGAACCCATTTCGATACCTCCTTTGTGCTCAGGTATCCATCCCCCTGAAATTCTGTTTCTGTCGCTGAATCATCATCCTCATCCACCACATCTTCCCCGTCATACACCACTTCAGGTCGTACCACCAAGGCCTGATCATCTGCCATGTTTGCCCAGCGAGCTTCGTCCTCCGCACCCACTGCCTCTCGCTTGTCGTGACTAGGGGTGCAACTCGGGCGGGTTCGGTCAGGTTGGGAGGTTATCTGAGCCTAGCCCAAGTTGTGCTGAGACTTACCTAGGCGCGAATTGTAATCCGAGATTGCCTGCCCAAGCCCAACCCGAGTTAAACCCGAATTGTCTGAATTGTAAAAGAATTTCAATTTTTTATTTTTTTTGTGCATCTACATTATTAAATTATTAAAATTTGACTCTATTTACATTTTTTTTATTATATAGAAAATCATTAATACCATCAAAACAAATAATTTATATAATGTAAGAGAGATGCTGTTGTAGTAGTCTTTACAATTTATGAGTGAAAATAAAAAAAGTAAGATTTTATGTTATTTGTATGTATAATATATATTCAATATGATTTAATAATCTAAATTACTTTAATATCATATAATGGCTAATAATTTATATGTATATTTATTATTTTTATATATCTGGATATGTATAATTCGGATTTCGGGTTGCTCGGGTTGTTTGATGTCTTTGTGCAAACCCGCCCAAATTTAATTTGGGTGTCTGAATTTTTGCCCAAGCCCGTACCGAATTTGAAAATATCATGTCCAAGCCCTAAAAAAATTCGGGTTGGGTACGGGTTACTCGGGTTGAGCCCGCCCAAGTTGCACCCCTAGTCCTGACCCAAACAGGAATGTTTTTAGTGTTTTGTGACGAGTTGAGTCTACATGAACAGAGCTTGAGTTGAAGTAATTGAGCTGCAATATCCAAATTTTATGATGTGTTTGGTTCATGGATTTGGAGCCTTAGATCCCATATTTGAATTTTCAAATCATTTAAGCATTTAGCACCGATGTTGGAGTTTTATGAGGAGCTGGTCCTCAGAAGTTCAAAGCAAGACACTGAGTGAGAGCCAATTTGGTTATTGGTTATGGGAGCACCTAAGTGCTTAAGGATTAAGGAGGTTCGGCGATTTGAAGTTCTCACATGTGTCTATGCATGTTTCATTATTAATTTAGAAGAATAAATATCTTGTGGCATGGTTAATATATTAATGATAAGTTTTGCAAATGATGTAACTGGAATCAGATATTTTTGACAGAGAGCAGCAGTAGAGTTTTGTATCGGCCTTTTAATTTTTGGTTACTGTTTGTTTCTCTAGGACTTCATAGGCTCAATTTGGTACTTGGGACTCCCCCAAAAACAAGAAAAAGGGGAATAAAACTAAAGAGAAAGAAGGCTGTTACTTAGATGAAATCATTTGAATTCTTAACCACTTGAACATGAACACAGATGGTGCAAGGTAGTTTGGGGATTTTTTCAGATGAACTTTTGGTTTTGTCATGGGAGTACTGTGTCAGTTTTACAAGTAAAAACTAGGAAGTATGGAATAGTTGTTTTAGAGTGGCAAGCATAACCTTGTAGAAACCAGCCAAGTTGGTCACAGTAATCTAAGAACATTAAAAAAAACAACGCCCAAGAAGTACACATTAATGTGTGTTTGGGAGGGGAAAGATTCAGTACACACCTAACCTTTTTGGCATAAAGCGTAAAGTGGTGGCCCAAGACTTGAACCCATAACCTCAAGGTTATTAGGCCAAGTTTTAACCATTAAACCAAGGTTATTAGAACATTGTGAGATTTTATTTGTTTATTTGTTTATTTTGGGTAAACAAGAACATTGTGAGACTGTTGCTTATAGTGTTAGGCATAAGGTATTCTAAACTTGAGAAATACTGCAATGACAAAAAAATATTTGCACCGAAGGATTGAACATGGACTAACTATTGCATAGTTATTTTGTAATTAACAACCCTGTAGGATACAATTTATTTCTTCTATTGCACTGGTTGTTCTAATATGACCCTCACTGTGATCGACTGCAGATGGTGGAATATTTCAATAAAAAAGCTGGTCTGTCAGGAGATGTTCCTCTTGGTAGCTTCAATGCTGCTTTCAGCTATACTGGTTCTAAACATATGGATGCCGCAGCTACAAAGACCCTTTCCACGGATGGGTTTTTCAATCCACTTATTAAGGTTCAGCTCGAAAAATTCCCATTAGTTTTGCAAGAAAATGTAAAGCGAGCAGTCCCAACATCTTGGGACCCACCCTCCTTAGCAAGGTATTATTAATCTTTAAGTTGCTTGTAGAAAGACATTGCTACTGGAGCCCAGTTTTTGTCCATGATATTAATTTTTGTCTATTTGTTTTCTGGACAGCTTTATCGAAAACTTTGGGACACATGTTATAACATCTGTAACTATTGGTGGTAAGGATGTGATTTATGTTAAACAGCACCAGACGTCGCCTTTGTCAACCATGGAAATAAAAAAATATGTTCGGGATATTGGTAATCATAGGTTCTTCAACACCAACAGTCTTACCAGTTCAGGTCTATTGAAATACAATGATAAGGCTAGTTCCATGATATTTCTTATTTCCTCTTCACAAGAAAGAACATTTTGATTCTATTATTTTCTTTCCCCTAAATTTTCCTTGACTCTGTGATCTCTCTCTCTCTCTTTCTCTCTGTTTTCCATATCTATTTTGCAGGGTATTGATCCTTCTTCATTCAGCAGCCAAGGGATATATCCACAACCCACTGGTGCACCTTATCTTACCGGCAGTGGTAAAGAAGTATGTAGAGATCTTCAATCTTGTGTTTTCAATGTTGTTTATTGCTTACGCTTCAAAAATATATGAAAAATCAGTAATACAGGGAGAAACAATTGTTACTTGTGCTCTCCTGCCTTGCATAGAGTACACAGTCTGCATATTAACTCAACTGAACTGAACTCAACAAAGCTTTGCCCATATTATTTGGGGCCAGACGCATGAATCTTATTTCATTATTCCATGCCTTGAAGCTCCATTGCATCAAACCACATGCTAATGCGTGTTTCCTAATTATCTCAAGTCTCTGTAAAAACACATTGGGAGGATATTTCATATTTAAATTATCTCAAATTATTGATCTACTAGCTAAATTTCAATTTCTGTAATGTAATTAAGAATTTTACAAGCCATGTGTTAATTATTAACTAAACTGGCTCTTGGAAATACTTCAATGGTGCATGAGGGGCTCATATTGACTCACTACTCCGTCTGTATTTTTACCTCAGAATTTTGGACAGCTTCCTTGTCGCTTGACCTGCTGAAGGACCTTTACCAAATTGCTTCACTTGTTATTACCCCCTATCTTATCTGGATCTTGAGTGACTACTGTATTTAGGTCATTTCATATTTTTTAGATGCGTCGATAGAATCTTTGTCTTTATTATTTAAATTTGATGCGTTTGTTATTTCTTTGGAGGCTGGCTGCTGGTGGTATTTACACTAGTAGAGAGAATTGGTTTGCACACTACTATTAGTGCATTTTGTTTCCATGGAGTTGATAGTGTTAAATACACCAGTGGTAGTAGGGGTGTAAATGGTTCAGTCCGGTCCAGTCTAGTCCGGTCGGTGTTTAGAGTATATTTAGCACCGAACCGATCCTTTCGGTTTTTATGATTGAGAAACCGATACAGACCGTATGCTACGGTTCGGTTTTATCTGTTTTGTCGGTTTGACGTAGAAGAGAAATTTACATGAAATTTTAAAAGATTTTATAGTAGATTATAGAATTTTGCATTGAAAATAAATGAAGAAAATATATGAAAAATGCACTATAAATGTTTTTCTCGCTTATTTTTATCATAAAAGTGTATTATATTAGTTGCTTCTCATATAATGTTTAAGAAATTATAATATAAAAATATTTAAATATAATATTTAGTTGGTTCGGTTTGAATCGATATAAAAAGTTTCAAAACCGAAACAGACTGTATGTTATGAAAAACAAACCGAAAACTAAAATTTCGGTTGGTTTCGATCGGTCGGCTCGGTTTTATCGGCTTTTCTATATCCCTAAGTGGTAGAGATAATTTTGTTTACTGTCTGGATTCTGAATCTACAGACATTCTTCTTGTAGATAGCATACTTTATGTACTGCGCACTTTTCAATTATTATGAACCCTTAAAAATATCTTAATTTACTTCTAATGCAGGATGTTACCGTCATTTTGAGACGTAGGGGAGGAGATGATCTGGAGCAAAGCCATACTCAATGGGTAAGGACTGTTGCGTCCTCTCCAGATGTTATTGAAATGTCCTTCTTACCCATCACCCTTCTGCTTGAAGGTGTAACTGGAAAAGAGCACTTGGCTCGTGCTATAGGTCTCTATCTTGAATGTAAGTCATCTTAAACTTTGTCATCATGTCTAGGTTGAAAAGACCTGGTGTTCTTTTCCTTTCTATGTACCACCTCCAACAATAACAACCATCATAATGATTGGGGATTCATCCTAATTGCTAACTTGAAAATTGTTTTGGATAATTGTGTGCAGACAAGCCTCAGATTGAAGAGCTGAGATATTTCCTAGAGTTTCAAGTCCCTCGGATATGGGCCCCGGTACAGGACAAGCTTCCTGGCCACCAAAGGAAGGAACCTGTTTGCCCATCCTTGCAGTTCAGCATGATGGGCCAAAAGCTTTACGTCAGCCAAGAGCAAGTATGTTTGTGTGTTTGCACGAGCGTGTATAGGTCCAATTTTAAAATTTAGCTATACTACACCGTCAGCCATGGAACTTGTTACTGTGATAGATGGAATTCATGATTGTGTAACCTTTATGTCGGCATAAAATAAAAAGGTATAAAATAATGATCTTTATTCTCATCATCATCATTTTCATGGGATGCCAAAAATCTCCCTCTTTGTTCTCGTCTTTCTGTTTGTAGCCTCCCTAGTGAGTGGTTGGGGATTTGATCCCTATAATTCCTTGATGTACGGTGCATGCAGTATGAGTCCCTTTTCCTCTGTGGAATCTCATCAGATGATACTGATCATCCATTTTATGTTTTTTTGGTACCTGGAAATTTAGCTATAGGAAAACCCATGAAGCCAATGCTTCGTTATTTATCATCTTGAGCTCAGCTCTTTATTCCATAGATCTAACCTTAAGTTGGTATCCAAAGAAGCCAACATAGGGTAGATAATTATTGACCTTTTAATTCCTCTTTACTTATTGTCTCTCTCTCAATTTAAATGTAGGTATCAATTGGACGTAAGCCTGTGACTGGCTTGCGGTTATGTCTAGAAGGATCTAAGCAGAATCGGCTATGTATTCATCTTCAACACTTGACATCCCTTCCGAAGATCCTCCAACCATACTGGGACACCCACGTGGCAATTGGTGCTCCTAAGTGGGTGGGCCCTGAAGAGCAAGATAGCAGATGGTTTGAACCAATAAAATGGAAGAACTTCTCTCATGTGAGCACTGCACCAATTGAAAGCCCTGCAACCTTCATAGGCGATCTCTCTGGCGTGTACATAGTAACTGGAGCTCAGCTTGGGGTGTGGGATTTTGGGTCAAGAAATGTGTTATTCATGAAGCTTTTGTACTCTAGGCTACCGGGCTGCACAATTCGAAGATCATTGTGGGACCATTTACCTAATGACAAGTTCAGGAAAGTGGTTACCACTGGAAGTGAAAATGGTGATTCGAGTTCAGGATCAAGGGAAATCATTGCAGGCAACAAGTTGGCAAAGTTTGTCGATACGTCTGAGATGAGCAAGGGCCCACAAGATCCTCCAGGTCATTGGTTGGTTACAGGAGGAAAGCTTGGGGTTGAGAAAGGAAAAATTGTTTTGAGAGTGAAATACTCCTTGCTAATTTATTGAGTTTTTACTGATCAGTCAGTTACAGATGGTGTTTTTGATTCAATGGGTTCTTGTTCATGCTTCTGAACTCATGCAGTTTGATTAGCTGAATTGAATGAGATGAGAATGTGCTCCTCAGTGATGTTAGGTATCTGGAGGAATTTCCAATTTTGTCCATGTATTCTGTTTTCTTGCAGATCTTGTGAATTTTGTAGAAAATGCCTATTGTTGTTCCATTCCCTTCAAATGTATATGTAAATATATATGTATCTATGGCTACAATTTTTCTTTTCTTTTCTTTGTTTTGGTGGCAACCAGGAGTCTGATCGTCATGGACGAAACTAAAAAATATTAATAAACACAGATAAAATTGTGGTTTTTTTTAAAAATATTAATAAACACAGATAAAATTGTGGGTTTTTTTTTTTTTTTTTTTTTGTGGTGAACAAAAATTGCGGTTCTCTCGGTAATTTATGTTAGGAGTTGATTACTTTGTTTAGCACACCTCTCTCTGTCTCTCCAGTGGTTATGGGAGCGCAACTTAGTACATCTGAAATTTCTGAAAGTGCAGTTGTCAACAATTTTATCTGACTTGTCCATTGTAAAAGTCAATTAAACATTGGTGCAGCTTATAAAGTTATTTATAATTTTTTTTTTAATTTTAAAATTTGTGTCAAATGTTTGGTGTAGTTTTTGATTAGCAGAATTTATGCCTTAAAAAAGTTTACAGAAAGACAAACAAGGAAAAGGAAAGAAGGCATTCAATTTCACCATCAAACCATATACTATAATTCAACCAACCAAGGTGACATACCTCAATCGTATACCAAAATGTCTTATTTGACCCAATTCTAGGTTTTCTACCAAGTTGGGGCTTATGTCTCTCAAATTTTCTAATGGCAATGTTACTATAACTACAAATATACGTTATATATAAGACTGCAACATCTGATCCTTTCAGACCTTGCAATAATAAGAGCCTTGTGCATTGGACTATTTTTTCTTTTTCTTCTTTATATCCTTTCTCGTACAAAAGCCTTGGGAGTAGGTGCTCCATATGCTATCTTTGCATTAAGTAGCTATTAACCTAGATCTTTTCTTTCTCTCTTCTCTTGCACAACTGCAAACACTAGTGAATCTATATGACTTTCCTAGAATTGAGGCCCCTCAAAGGATTGTCCAAATTGCCAATCAGCTGGCACAGCATCATAACTGGTGATTGACCTTCCATCGCTGCCTGTAACACGGAAAGAGAGGCTTTGACCATTGAGGTAAGAGTTGCTCTGCCAGTTTTGACCCCAATTCCTTGACATGACTTGCCACCCAGTCCTAGAGCCCTTGATGGACACTGCATGGACATCTCCTGCACCACCTACGTTTGTTATCAACACCAAGTTGAAGTAAGAATGGCCATTGATAGTGAACCTCATTCCTCCTTTCTTGGCACATGGTACCCTAGTCACAAACCAACCCAAACAAGAAGAGTTTTAGTTTTATATGTAGGCAAATGTTGATATTTTGGTAAGTTACAATGAAAAAGATTTTAAATATCAACTGATACGTATTGATTTTTTGGTTTCACTCTTGCTCGACAAAAATCTTAGCTCCACCGTGCCATGGGAATTGGTATTACCTTCTGAAAGATACGGGAACAATTCCAGCTCGATATTGAGCAATCTGCAAGAAGGCAGGCTCTGCCAAATCAAAGTGTTGGCGAGGGGGATTGCACCACCCACCGTTGTCATTAGAGAGGGCGTAATTTGGTGGGCAGAAGTTGGTGGCAGTGACAGTAATGGTGTTGTCAATGCACCATTGGGGATCGTCGTTGCACTTCAGCTCATAACATGCTCCGCAACTCAACCCATTGCTGAAGAGGGCTGTGCTTAGAGCCGCAGTGCTGGTCCCATACCCTTGTCCATACAAGTTTCCATACCCACATGCACCCCCTGCACCCACAACATATCACATGAAACATGTATACATATATTCTATTAACAGCACACTCATCGAGTATGCATAAAACGCTAGTACATATAATCTATTCTTTCTATTATATACTTGAGAGTTAGTGTAGACTGCCACGTTTATTTTATTTTAATTTTCTCAAAATATCCTCACATAACTAATTGTAATTTCTTGTCTCATATACTAAATTCATATCAAAATTTGTAAATTCTTGCAGTTTTAACAACGCAACCATAAGGAATGCACACATTGCTAGTATATATATATATATATAGACAGAGAGAGAGAGCTGATTAGTCACCCATAGTGCCAGAAGCATCAGCGCCACCGTAGAAGGTGGCGTGAGCGCTCTGCCAACCGCCGTAGAATCCAAAGTCTGCGCCGTGGTGGAAGGCACAGGTGACATGGAGACCTAAATTGAAAAGCAAGAAGAGAATTGGCATATAATATTGCACTGAAACGCTGGCCATTACTATAAGTGCAGTTGTATCTGTATTTGTAATTTATGTGCTCTATTCTATCTATGTGATAGTGAGAGAGATAATAATAGTGAGAGAGAGAGAGAAAAGAAAGAAGAGAAAGAGCCTTGTTTTAGAGTAAGGCTTGAGGGTGTGAGTGAAATGGTTTCCTTCCTATTTAAATATATAATACACACATAGAGAGGCAATTGAGTGGGTGGTTCAGGTGGTTGGGGTTGGGCCTGAGATCATATGTAATTTTTTTCCCTTCGTTTCTGAAAAAACGAAAAACAAAAATAAAAATAAAAAATGGAATGTACTTTGAAAAATATTTAAAAACGTGCTCAAAAAATGAATATGTATTCTAAATTTAAAGGACTTAGCTTTACTCATAGAGAGACTATGGATGGCAATTTGCTCCTCTCATTTCCCGTCTCCGTTAGAGCCCATTTTTTTTTCCCCAATAAGAAAACAAGAAATGGACAGTATTTGCTTCAATTGTCTTGTTTTCTTCGACTCCGTACTCATTATATTAAATAAATAACATTTATACATATCTCACTTTTTTACCTCTTTGTCTTTGATTTTTAAATCTTTTTAACTCAAAAAAAAAATAAAAAATAAAAACTCTCACTATTTATTAATATTTGTTCTCTCATATATTATATTATTTCTTTCTCGTGTCCTAAATATGAACACATTTTAAATTTAAGAACTTCTTAAATTATATGCACATGCAATTGTTTATGGTTTGGCCCCAACTCACATATTTGTGTCTCAACGGCTGCTTTTACATTTACTCCTCTCTTTTTCTTCATTTGTTACTTCTCTCTTTTTCACTAGGCTACTTTTTAAGATTTATTCTTAATTTTTACCAAAATTTTCAAAGAAGTTAAAGATGTGTTGTTTTTGTTAGAACAATCTTCTGTGTAAAATAAAATAACTAGAAATAAATTCAAACAAAATAAATAACATACCAGATTTATTTATCGAACTGAATTAAAATTAAGACCAAGTCGAGTATGTGACACTCTATCCTTAAGACAGATTCGCCCCGCTACGGTGCTTACGGTTGAATGGTGTCTATCTCCCAGGATACAATGATCTTCACAAATTTATAGAAGCACTTCAAATAAATTTGTTCAGCGAACCAAACCTGCGATCTATACTCTCTTTGATTACCCTAAAATAATATGAAGAATAAAGGACGCAAGAGAGCAAAATGAAGGCAAGGAAAATGAATTTTCGGAATCCTCAAAATTGGAATGGGGCTGCCTTTATATAGGCTTTGTTGGCACCTATTCAAATTGAATAGAAAAGGTATGAAGAAGGGACATACCCCTTCCTTTAAAATAAAGAGACACCATGAAAGGTTTGCACCCTTTCATTCAAATGGAGGTTTGACCCTTCCTTTAAAACAAAAAGACACCATGAAAGGTTACACCCTTTCATTCAAAATGGAGTCTATTTCAATTCACAACTACCTCTTTATAAATTTTCCAACAATCCCCCACATGAATGAAATTGACAGAGACAAAATGCAACAACATTATGTAAATACAGAGAGTACAGAAATTGGAAATATTCTGCAAAGTTGGCCACAATCAATAGGCCATAATTGACAGGAAACTAATTATGGTACAGACAACTACATAGACAACATAACATAATCTTATGAAATTACTGTGTAATTACCCTCCCCATTTGAACATTTTCTTCAAAAGACTTCAATCAACAACATATGGGTCTGGTTCTCAAGAAAAATTGGGGGGGGTCCACACGAATGTGAGAAATTAAAACATTTTCTTGCAAGAAAATAGAGAGTGGGGACAGGGGAAATCTTAGTTATATGGTGATCCTTGGTGACTCAACTTAATAATTATTAGGATAAATAGTAGAACCTATTATTTTTATGCTGATATTTTTAGAAACAACAAAACAAGCGTCACAATTTGAATGTTGTGGAGCGTTGCTCTAAGACAACCAAATAAATACTCCCACCAATTCTTGATGCATACCAGAAATATAGAATTTGGATCGTTGATGTCAGGAAAATTACGAGACAGAGGATGGTATTACTCAAGATCTGTTTACTAAAAAACCTGAACTATGTCCCAACCACATGAACCCAAATATTACAACTTTTGGAGCTCCGTCAAAACCCTAGTACTATATCTTGTAATTAATTAGTAAGAAAACTAATAAATTGAAATTATCAAAACTCTATTTGTAGAAAACCCATTTTTAGTAGTACCAAAAACAAAACAAAAACAAAGTTTCCAATTAACAAGAAAGCTCATTGATAGAAAATCTCTACAAAATGAATTCATTCCTTTCATTACTCATACAATGTATCTAATACTAGCTCATTCAAAAGATATCAACATCTTACCCTTAGTATCAAATTGTTGCAAGACTACTACATTCAAATGGCCCTCACTATAATAACCAATTTGAAGAATCTATAAACTAAAAAATATTCCGACCAAAAAAAAAAAAGCCAAAACAAAACAACTGTAATGACACAACCTTTCGGGGATAGTTTTCAGTGAGCAATGAACTAGCGTCCTTGTCCAATTTGGCGGCTTTGGATATTGTTCTATTAAATATGGACTTCTGGCCGAGAGGTATTGAGAAGGTGAAAAAGTTCAATATAGTTGTTGGCGATTACTTTGGTGGCATCCCTGACCCTCGTTATTCGTTATCAAATAAGTTGGATCTCCAAGGTCAAAACTTGAGTGACATTGAAACGAGGTTTGATTTGCTGTTGAAGAGAACTGAAATTCTTATTTTAACCGCAACTGCAGTAAGTTTGAAAATTCTCTGTGATTTGGTCGACGAAGATGGTTTTGAATGCTTAATGAAATTGACACTAGACTACTTGACTGAATTGGAATACCTCATCAATACAACAGATGGGGTTCCCCAGAGTGCTTTTCCTGTGAGTGTCTGTATCTTCGTAATCTATATAATTTCAAAGGGATTACTAGCCATGAATGTCATGAATACCGACTACCGAACACGGCTTTCCGTGCATTGAAAGAGTTGGTACTATATTTCTTGCCTGAATTGACAAATATGTGGAAGGGTCCCACCCAACTTGTATGGCTCGGCAACCTGACGTCTGTAGATGTGTTCTGGTGTCATAAACTACAAACTACGTTCTCACTTTCCATAGCTAGAGATCTAAGGAAACTGCAGGACGTTCGGATAACTCACTGTGGCATGATGAAAGCAATTGTTTCAAGTGAAAAATGATTTATATTTACGAAAATTATAAAAATTATATAATTAATTATTATAAATTATTATTATATATAAAAATTATATTATTTCAATGCTTGAGTGTTGTGGGTGTGGCCATTGGTGTGTGTGTCATTGTGTGGGTTGGCTTTGGTTGGTAGTAGAAACGCCATTTCAAATGGCTAAAAAAAAAAAAAAAAAAAAAAATATGGAAGATCTGCATTTCAAACTATCCGAACAGATATTTCGAATTCAACACCAGATTTGCATTTCCGAACTTGTATATATACAAATCAGACCAACAATTTCTTCAACAGATCATATATTATATATATATATCAGACCACCAATTTGAATCAGATCATATATTATATTTATATATATATGTATATATACAAATCTGCCCCAAATTTGGTGGACGCGAACAGATTTCGAACATCAGAACAGATCTGAAAGAGGAGATTTAGGGATGAGACAGATCGGTGGCCGGTCTGTGTATAATATCAGTGTAATCAACCCAATAACGACCGTGAGCCAACAGATCGGCCATGAACCGATGCTGTTATGAACATACACTACGCAGATGGGAAGAAGAAAAAACAAATCAAATAGGCCATAGATTGTCACCTGCAGATCGGTTTGAGTGTGCAAGAGATGGTTGTTGTTCGCGGCCGCGGTTTCAATCTCCGGTTGCGATTTCGTCTGCCAAGGTCGGTCCGACCGCCTCCAGTACCTCCGTTCTTCTTCTCCTCTGCTCCGAAATGGGTGTGTATGAGCTCTAATCTGAGCGTCTGTTTGCAGAGGGACAGACTTTAGCCTCTCGGGGCAATTCGGTAAAATCGCGCGAGACAGCCTCGCCCAACACCCGCTCAATTCCGTTTTGTCGTCACTTGGCTAATTAGCCTTTTTTGTCGTTTTTTGGCTAATTTAGCCTCAATTGTCTTCCCAAACAGACGCTTATGCTCAATTTCTTATTATTCTCTATTAAATTATTTAGGGATACAATTTATTCTCAATACACCCTATGTTTTTTCATAAATTACTCTTAAAGGTACACTCAAATAATAAACAAATCAAAAATCCAAAGTTTCACCACTTTCAAAAATCTTTTCAAAAATCCTTAAACAGATTTATCATTATAATTATTCTTTTTGTTCACGTACAAGAAATACGATACACTGGCGAAGGACAACGACGAAGGAGGAGGGCGAATCAACCAATGAAAAAAAGATTTGTTTCAAGGAGGACGACCTTGCAACATGACTCCATGATCTCAAGCTTGACAGTTATGTTTGCAACAAACCCCTTCACAATATTATTCAAATATACACCATTGTAGTTTTTCCCAATAAGCTGTCACGAAGCAACTAATGGAGGAAAAATAAATCAAACGTACTGATAGTATTTATAAACATAACATCTATAGTATTTATGTTTGATTTTATTTAAACTTTATTCTATTTACAAGTAACAATAACAAATAAGAAACAATGATATTGATGATAATGATAAATTTTTGTAGGATAGATTGGAGTTTTGGATTGAGGAAAGATATGAAGAGAAATTAATTGAAACTTGTAGAAGAAAATGAAAAGACTTTAATATGAAAAATACATATAACTGGTATGAGTGTACTATGAGAAAAAATAATATTTTATTTTAGAATTTAATGTATATTGTTCTCATTAATAAATTTATATTAAAATATAATAAAAATTAAAATTTTAAAATTTTAATTAAACGTACTAAATTATTATTTAGGTACTAATAGAATCACCCGTAAATTTGGTCCATAATTTTATTTGCATATCACAATCTTTCTAGAAATAGCCCAATAAGCTCAACCCAAAAAAACCCCATTATCATTAGGCTTTTATTGGGCTTAATGAAGAAAACAATCAGACAC